GAGGGGGAGAAGGAGGAGGAGGACGAGGAGGACGAGGAGGAGAAGGAGGAAGAGGAGGAGGACGAGGAGGACGACGAGGAGAAGGAGAAGGAGGAGGAGGAGAAGAAGAAGAAGGTGGAGGAGGAGGAGAAGGAGGACGAGGAGGAGAAGGAGGAGGAGGAGGAGGAGGAGAAGGAGGACGAGGAGGAGAAGAAGGAAGAGGAGGAGGAAGAGGACGACGAGGAGAAGGAGAAGGAGAAGGAGGAGGAGGAGGGGGAGGAGGGGGAGGAAGGGGAGGAAGGGGAGGAGGAGGAGGAGGAGGAGGAGGAAGAGGAAGGAAGGTGGGATGGGAAGAAAGATGGAGAAGAAGGTGGAGGTAGTGGAGGTGAGAAAGGAGGAATACTAGGAGTAGGAGGAGAAGGAATGAGAGAAAAAGGAAAAGAAAAGAAAAAGAAGAAGAGGAGGAGAAAGAGGAAAATGTCGAAGAAGAAGAAGAAGAAGAAGAAGAAGAAGAATGGTGAGACAGGAGAAAAAGGAGGGGAATGGATAAGGAGGGCAAAGAAGAAGGAATAGGAGAAGCAGGAGGATCGAGAGAAGAATAAAGAGGGAAATGGAGGAGGGGGAGGAGGAGAAAAGGCGATAAAGATAGTAGCAACGAAGGAAAATGGAGTAGATTTGTGATAAAGAGTGGATAGCAGGAGTTGATAAAAAGTAGATTTAGAGTAAATATTTGGCAAAGAGTAGGGAAAATATGGAATGAAATGTTACTTATATTTATTATGATGAACAGCTCACTAATACTACTAAAACCCAAAGATAAAAATGACAACAACAGCACCAACATTATAATCAAGTTATTAAGAGACCAACAAGAAAAAGAATTTGGCTCGTGTCATAGGATATAAAAAGTAAAAAAAAGAGAGAGAGAGAGAGAGAGAGAGAGAGAGAGAGAGAGAGAGAGAGAGAGAGAGAGAGAGAGAGAGAGAGGAGAGAGAGAGAGAGAGAGAGAGAGAGAGAGAGAGAGAGAGAGAGAGAGAGAGAGAGAGAGAGAGAGAGAGAGAGAGAGAGAGAGAGAGAGAGAGGGAGGGAGGGAGGGGGGGAATGAGAGAGAGAGAGAGAGAGAGAGAGAGAGAGAGAGAGAGAGAGAGAGAGAGAGAGAGAGAGAAGGAGAGAGAGAGAGAGAGAGAGAGAGAGAGAGAGAGAGAGAGAGAGAGAGAGAGAGAGAGAGAGAGGGAGGGAGGGAGGGGGGGAATGAGAGAGAGAGAGAGAGAGAGAGAGAGAGAGAGAGAGAGAGAGAGAGAGAGAGAGAGAGAGAGAGGGAGGGGGGGAATGAGAGAGAGAGAGAGAGAGAGAGAGAGAGAGAGAGAGAGAGAGAGAGAGGGAGGGAGGGAGGGGGGGAATGAGAGAGAGAGAGAGAGAGAGAGAGAGAGAGAGAGAGAGAGAGAGAGGGAGGGAGGGGGGGAATGAGAGAGAGAGAGAGAGAGAGAGAGAGAGAGAGAGAGAGAGAGAGAGAGAGAGAGAGAGAGGGAGGGAGGGAGGGGGGGAATGAGAGAGAGAGAGAGAGAGAGAGAGAGAGAGAGAGAGAGAGAGAGAGAGAGAGAGAGAGAGAGAGAGAGAGAGAGAGAGAGAGGGAGAGAGGGAGAGGGAGGGGGAGAAAAAAATTGCGATTTCTAATCAAGGGAAGCACAGGGTTTGGCTCACTTTCAAAAGGAGGTCTTTTTTCAACATCATATTATAGCCTTTTATCCACACTGTCCCTCGTCTTCATTCCCCCTGTGAGGCAAAAGCTTCTTTGGGGATGAAAGGGTAATGGGTAAGTTATTCTCCTTCTCTTTCTTTCCCCTTCTTCCTTCTCTTTCTCTCCGTCCTTCCCTATCCTTCCTTCCTTCTCTTTCTCTTTGGTTTTCTCTCTCTTTCCTTCCTTCTCTTTCTCTTCGTCCTTCCCTATCCTTCCTTCCTTCTCTTTCTCTCCGTCCTTCCCTATCCTTCTTTCCTTCTTTTTCTCTTTGGTTTTCTCTCTCTTTCCTTCTTTCTCTTTTTCTCTGTTCTTCCCTCTTTTTCCTTCCTTCTCTTTCTTTTCGTTCTTCCTTACCTCTCTCCCTCCTTCGTCCCATTCCTCTTCCCCCACCCACTCTCTCCCTTCTTCTTTCTCTTCCGTTCTCCCTCTTTCTCCTCTCTCCTTCCTTTCCTCCTTTCATTCCCTCCCTTCTCCTTCCATCACCATCCCTCCTTCCTCCCCCCCCCCCTCACTCCTCCTCCCCCCACTCCCCCCTCCCCTCCCCCATTCACCCCTCCCCTCCCTCCCCCCCACTCCTCCCCTCCCCACTCACCCTTCCCCTCCCCACTCACCCCTCCCCTCCCTCCCCCCAGATCCACCGACGACCGCCGCTGGTGCTGCCTCGCGCCCCACGTCGACGAGTGTCTGCCGGCCGCTGACGAATTTTCTTCTTGCGAGGACCTCATGTCGAACCTGGTCCTGCGAGTGTGCATCTGGATCCTGGGCTTCGTAGCGCTCGTCGGCAACTCCTTCGTCATCATCTGGAGGAGTATCCATTCGAGCGGGAACAAGGTGGGTGGTGGTTGGGGTGAGGGAGGGTGGGAGGGAGGGAGACAGGGAGGGTTTGTTTATATTTGTGTGTGTGTGTGTGTGTGTGTGTGTGTGTGTGTGTGTGTGTGTGTGTGTGTGTGTTTGTGTCTGTATACTCACACGTGTATGTGTGAATACGTATTAGAACTTGTGTCTACGTACAGTACCCTACCTATCCACGTACATAAATACAAAGAAACATACCAAATAACCCACATCCCTCCTTCCACAAACAGATGCACTCCTTCCTCATCGTAAACCTCGGCCTGGGTGACCTCATGATGGGCGTGTACCTCCTGATCGTGGCCGTGGTGGACCTGCAGTACCGGGGTGTCTACGTCGCCTACGAGCACGCCTGGCGCACGTCCTTCCTCTGTCAGCTGGCCGGCTTTATCAGCACTTTCTCGTCGGAGCTTTCGGTGTTCACGCTGACGGGTGAGACGGGTGGGGAGGGGAAGGGAGAGAGGGGGGAAGGGAGAAGGGAAAAAAAGAAGGCTTATGGAGAGGAAAAAGGGCATGGAGGTAGGAGGAGGAGGAGGAGGAGGAGGAGGAGGAGGAGGAGGAGGAGGAGGAGGAGGAGGAGGAGGAGGAGGAGGAGGAGGAGATGGAGATGATGATGATGATGATGATGATGATGATGATGATGATGGTGGAGGAAATATCAGGAGGATAAGGGGGAGGAGGAAGAAGAGGAGGAGGAGGAAGGAAAGAAGAACAAAGCGCAAGGAGGTGAAAGAGAAAGAAAAGGGATCAAGAGGTAGTGAAAGAGGAAGGCGAAAAGAATAAAGATGAACAAGAAAAGGGAGAAAACGAGGCGCCAACTAACTTTATCGACGTCGCGTTTCCATGAAGATCCATTAGCAGCAAACTTTTTTAGGCCTAAGTTGTGGTTGTTTAAGGACATTGTCTCATCTTGTATTCGCACCTAATTTGCTCTTTATGACCAAATGCCTGTGTCTTCATCTTCATCTTCATTATCTTCATTATCATCATCTTCTTCTTCTTCTTCTTCTTCTTCTTCTTCTTCTTCTTCTTTCTTTCTCTCTCATTAACAACTCAAAAAACCTGTTCTGGTCATTTTTTTTATTTGCATATAACTGTAAATTGGTTCTTATAATTATGTGATCGCATCGTTACTCTCTATTTTCTCTATTGTCACGTTACATTTTGAAATGAAATATAAGTAGAAAGATGATATATTACTATTAAAGTGATGAGACCTGTTATTTTTCACAAAGGAAATAGCAAAGTATAAATTATAGAATCTTAAAACCACGTTCATAGATTTCCCTTTATTATAACTTCAAATTCAGTTTGATATTCCATATATAGTCTTTAATTACTACAAAACGCCGAATTCAATTCAGTCTCCACAGCTTACAAACCATAATTACGATCTGATTCCATAATTTGATTCCACAATTCAGTCCAGTAGTTAGTTTGGTAGTATATTAATTCCATTATCCATTCACAAACAACTATCTAAGTCACAAGTTCACTGCACAGGTGGCATGATATCCCACAGATCCCATTCAGTCCCTCAGATCACAACGAACCAGACCAGTCAATAGATTGCAACTCTGCTGATCATTCGTGAAATCCCACTGGCCACAACTTACTCAGTGTTTCACGACCCACCTCAACACCCCTCAGCCCACCACAACCCACCCCCGCACCTCAATCAACCCACTCTTACACAATACCCAACACACCCCTACACCTGCCAACTCACCTTAACACCTCGATCCCATCCCCAACACCCCAACCCACCATCAAAACCCACCCCATGCCTCCCAACCCATCCCCACACCTCCCATCCCACCCCCACACCCATCACCCTCACAACCCACCCACCAACCCACGCACCAGCGCACCACTAACCCCTCCCTCCCTCTCTTCCCCCCCCCTCCTCGAACCCCAGTGATCACCGTCGACCGCCTCATCGTCATCAAGTTCCCCTTCGGACTGCGCAGACTGGAGGGCAGTGTGACCCGGATGGTGATGGTCTTCGTGTGGCTGGTGGTGATCCTGCTGGCCGCCCTTCCCCTCAGCAGTCTCGAGTACTTTGATAACTTCTACGGCAGGTCCGGGGTCTGTCTGGCCCTCCATATAACGAACGAGAAGCCGAATGGGTGGGAATATGCGGTCTTTATCTTCTTGGGTGAGTGAGTGGTTAAGTGGTTAAGTTATAGTTGTTATGGTTGTTACAGTATTTGTTATTTGGGTTTGTCTGTTTGTATGTAGGTGGATGTATTTATTTATTTATTTTTTTCTAATTTCTCTTTTTTTCTCATTCGTTTTCTTTTTTTTTCCCCTTCGACCCTTACTTTCCCCTTTTTCCCTCTCCTTCACTCACTTTCCTTTTCTTCCCCCTTTACCGCTTCTCATCCCTTCCTCTTTCTCTCTCTCTCTTTCCCCCCACTTTCCCTTTCTCCCTCCACCCCCTCTCCCTTTCTCTCTCTTCTTCCCCCATTATCCCCTCCCTCCCCTTCTCCCCCTTTCCCCCTCTCCTCCCTCCCTCCCCCCTTACCCCACCAACAGTCCTCAACCTCCTGTCCTTCGGGGTGATCGCCATCAGCTACGCCCTCATGTACATCGTGGCCCGAGACACCCACTCGGCCGCCTACGCGAGTCCCGAGGCCCGACTGAGCGACAGCGGCATGGCCACGCGCATGACCCTCATCGTGGCCACCGACGCCGCGTGCTGGCTGCCCATCATCTTCCTCGGCATCGCCTCGCTTTGCGGCATGGCCATCCCGCCTAAGGTTCGTGTGGGTGTGGGTGGTGGGTGGGGGAGGGTGGGGTGGGGAAGTGAGGGAGGGTAGGGTGGGGAGGTGAGGGAGGGTGGGGTGTGAGGGAGGGTTGGGGTGGGGAAGTGTGTGGGGTGGGAGGGAGGGTGGTGTGGGGAGGTGTGTGGGGTGGGAGGGAGGGTGGGGTGGGGAGGTGTGTGGGGTGGGAGGGTGTGAGGGGGCCCAGCGAGGCTGTGAATCGCTTGAGATTGATGAATGCGTGGTTGGGTGGATGTTGGGGGGGGGAGTGGGGAAGGATAAGTTTTAGTATTATTCAATTAACTTCTATGTATGTTTAAAGTGCGATGGGGGGGGCGGTAGACTGAGGCATCATTTGTGAAGATGAAGGAATAAAAGAATATTTTATGTACTTGCCTAATTAGTGAAGATAATAGGATGACTGGATAAGTGTAAGTAGACTCATAGATAGATAGGTGAAGAGAGAAAGAAATCGTAAGAGAATAGTAGAGAAATACGTGATAAATTAGTTGCAAGTATAGATTATAAATGTATAAATGATTGATAAAGTATAAAGGATTAATACATGATTAAAGGTAATCGTGTTAATTAATTGATGCAGGGAAGATGAGGATCTAAAATTAATTATCTGTCAGATTTAGACGCAAAATAACATATTTCACTGGTAATTTTAGTATCTCATAGCATTCATAATAAGCAATCATACCACCGCCATCACACTCACAACCTACCCCCACCACCCACCCACCACCCCACTCACGTTCACCCCCACCCCCACCACCACCCCAGTCACGTTCACCCCCACCCCCCCCACCACCCCACTCACGTTCACCCCCACCCACTAATTTCCCTCATTTCCCCTCTTATTCTCCTCAGGTCTTCTCATGGATCGCCGTTTTCGTCCTGCCACTCAACGCCGCCATTAACCCGGTCCTGTACACGCTCTCAACCACGCCGGTCCGGAAACGCCTACGTCACCTATTTCGCTCGTTCACAAGTACGTTTTGGGACAGGCGCTCCAATTCTTGCAGCAGTGTCTCAGGTTAGCATTTTCTCACTTGCCGTGGGTGAGGATTACGTATCTTGCTGAGTCGTTTGGTGATTGGGAACTGGTGGATTGTAGCTACTAATCGGTTATGGCCAACTGGTGACTGGTAATTGGTAGCTGGTAACTGGTGTCTGGGAATCTGGTAATTGGGAAGTGGTGATTGGTAATTGGTAGCTGGTAACTGGTGACTGGGAATCTGGTCACTGGGAACTGGTAATTTGGTAATTGGTAACCTGTAGCTGGTATAGTTACCTCTTAATCTGGCAATTGGTGACTTGTAGCTGGTAACGGGTTATCGGCTGTGAGGATGTAGGGAAAGGATGGGACGAAATTAGGGCTAAGGATTTCATATCAGAATGTAAAAATAAAAGTCTTTAATAATGTTTTAATTTCGTTGTTTTGTTCCATGTCTATATATTTCTTTTCTTTTCATTTCTTTGTCATACTCTTCTGTCCTTCTTTCCATGTTTATTTGTTTATTTATTTATATTAAAGATATATTTACTTATTCATTTGTTTATTCATATATACTTGTGGTTTTATTTGCATATTCTCTTCCTTTCCATCCCTCTACAAGAGTTTTTTTTTTTGTTTTAATGCAACTTTTGCGGTGTTTCGCGACTCCATTTCTGTATTTTAGAAGCTGTCACGCACGGAAATAATTTAAGTTTCGTACCCCAAGGAGAAAGACCCTTTTTAATGACTTTGTGTTTATTTGTCTATTTCAAGGATATTTTTCTTTAAAACCTCTCTCTCTCTCTCTCTCTCTCTCTCTCTCTCTCTCTCTCTCTCTCTCTCTCTCTCTCTCTCTCTCTCTCTCTCTCTCTCTCTCTCTCTCTCTCTCTCTCTCTCTCTCTCTCTCTCTCTCTCTCTCTCTCTCTCTCTCTCTCTCTCTCTCTCTCTCTCTCTCTCTCTCTCTCTCTCTCTCTCTCTCTCTCTCTCTCTCTCTCTCTCTCTCTCTCTCTCTCTCTCTCTCTCTCTCTCTCTCTCTCTCTCTCTCTCTCTCTCTCTCTCTCTCTCTCTCTCTCTCTCTCTCTCTCTCTCTCTCTCTCTCTCTCTCTCTCTCTCTCTCTCTCTCTCTCTCTCTCTCTCTCTCTCTCTCTCTCTCTCTCTCTCTCTCTCTCTCTCTCTCTCTCTCTCTCTCTCTCTCTCTCTCTCTCTCTCTCTCTCTCTCTCTCTCTCTCTCTCTCTCTCTCTCTCTCTCTCTCTCTCTCTCTCTCTCTCTCTCTCTCTCTCTCTCTCTCTCTCTCTCTCTCTCTCTCTCTCTCTCTCTCTCTCTCTCTCTCTCTCTCTCTCTCTCTCTCTCTCTCTCTCTCTCTCTCTCTCTCTCTCTCTCTCTCTCTCTCTCTCTCTCTCTCTCTCTCTCTCTCTCTCTCTCTCTCTCTCTCTCTCTCTCTCTCTCTCTCTCTCTCTCTCTCTCTCTCTCTCTCTCTCTCTCTCTCTCTCTCTCTCTCTCTCTCTCTCTCTCTCTCTCTCTCTCTCTCTCTCTCTCTCTCTCTCTCTCTCTCTCTCTCTCTCTCTCTCTCTCTCTCTCTCTCTCTCTCTCTCTCTCTCTCTCTCTCTCTCTCTCTCTCTCTCTCTCTCTCTCTCTCTCTCTCTCTCTCTCTCTCTCTCTCTCTCTCTCTCTCTCTCTCTCTCTCTCTCTCTCTCTCTCTCTCTCTCTCTCTCTCTCTCTCTCTCTCTCTCTCTCTCTCTCTCTCTCTCTCTCTCTCTCTCTCTCTCTCTCTCTCTCTCTCTCTCTCTCTCTCTCTCTCTCTCTCTCTCTCTCTCTCTCTCTCTCTCTCTCTCTCTCTCTCTCTCTCTCTCTCTCTCTCTCTCTCTCTCTCTCTCTCTCTCTCTCTCTCTCTCTCTCTCTCTCTCTCTCTCTCTCTCTCTCTCTCTCTCTCTCTCTCTCTCTCTCTCTCTCTCTCTCTCTCTCTCTCTCTCTCTCTCTCTCTCTCTCTCTCTCTCTCTCTCTCTCTCTCTCTCTCTCTCTCTCTCTCTCTCTCTCTCTCTCTCTCTCTCTCTCTCTCTCTCTCTCTCTCTCTCTCTCTCTCTCTCTCTCTCTCTCTCTCTCTCTCTCTCTCTCTCTCTCTCTCTCTCTCTCTCTCTCTCTCTCTCTCTCTCTCTCTCTCTCTCTCTCTCTCTCTCTCTCTCTCTCTCTCTCTCTCTCTCTCTCTCTCTCTCTCTCTCTCTCTCTCTCTCTCTCTCTCTCTCTCTCTCTCTCTCTCTCTCTCTCTCTCTCTCTCTCTCTCTCTCTCTCTCTCTCGCAGTATTTATCCGTATATGGAGCGTTGTTTTACTATATTTAGCTTCCATGATAGTAGTGAGTAACCTTCTATATATGCATTTATATAGAGAGAGATTTTGAGTCATTGGAATATATTTGGGTAAAAGGTATTAAGTATAATATATGTAATCTGCCACATATGATATACCGTATTTGCCAGCCTGTAAAATATGCAGACATACATAACGATCTTTTACTTTTTTTATAGAGACGTAATTTAGAGAAAAAAAAGTTTTACCATGCATTTGCTCCAATGATTTTAACGGTTTTTCAGGAAATAGTGTCTATTTTTTGCCTACGGGGGCTTGGAAATGTTCTTTTTAAACACTTAATTTTCATTCATAGTTATGTTAAGTATACCAGTTTCTGACATTAGTTGTGTTTGCCTGTGATATGCAAGGTACATAAAGGTTTTTTATTTATTTTCTAAACAACTCAGTGTATTGATTTCAGTGTAATATATTCATGTAAAAGGATAGTTTATCAAACCCGAGCTGTGTACGTTGAAACTTTTCCTATGAATCGCGTTTTATAATCTGGCAGATACGGCACACACACACGCACATGCACACACACAAACAAGCACACACACACACAGACAAGCACACACGTACAGGCAAGCACACACACACACACACAAGCACACACACACAAGGACACACACACACACACACAAGGACACACACACACAAGCACACACACACACACAAGCACACACACACACACAAGCACACACACACACACAAGCACACACACACACACAAGCACACACACACACACACACACACACACACACACACACACACACACACACACACACACACACACACACACACAAATCATTGGCTGGAAAAGTGTATTACTTATGTTGCCCAATATTTTCAGAAGACAACTGCATGAAGTTGTAAGTAATCTTAATATTATAAGTCATTTATAAGTAATGATCTGTCTATTTTCGCTGTAAATTGTCTATTACCTGTTTTTTTCTGTTTAATATTTGTTTTTCAACAGTTGGGTATATAGATATCTTGTGTTTCCTCCTGTCATCTTGTTCCTCTCTCTCTCCCTCCCTCCCTTCTCCCCCCCCCTCTCTCTCTCTCTCTCTCTCTCTCTCTCTCTCTCTCTCTCTCTCTCTCTCTCTCTCTCTCTCTCTCTCTCTCTCTCTCTCCCTCTCTCCGCTCCCTCCCTTCCTCTCTCTCTTTCTCTCTCTCTCCATATGTCTATGTGCATTTGTCCATCTAACCATTAACCATATCTCGTCTTTTATAGTAATTAAAGCAAGTACACTAAAAAGATATTAACAAATAACAAATTTTGTGTATGCTATTGTGTTTGACTTAAACAACTAATAAAAAGAGTTTCATGCAGATTTACATTAGACAGTTATATATCACCATAAATATTAAGTGCTAGTTCTTCCTAAATTTATTATCATTTATAACCTTTGAATTTCCTATGAGTCTCACTGTCAGTTGTGAATTGTTAACAGGGAATTTCAAGACAGTAAGTATAGAGTAAAACATATGTTCAGGACGCTTGAATTCGTTCAGTAAATTACAATGAGAGAGGGAGAGAGAGAGAGAGAGAGAGAGAGAGAGAGAGAGAGAGAGAGAGAGAGAGAGAGAGAGAGAGAGAGAGAGAGAGAGAGAGAGAGGAAGGAGATAGAGAGAGGAATGAGAGTTAGAGAGAGGAAAGAGAGAGAAAGAGGGGAAAGAGAGAGAAAGAGAGAGAGGAAAGAGAGAGAGAGAGGAAAGAGAGAGAGAGAGAGAGAGAAAGAGAGAGAGAGAGAGAGAAGAGACAAAAAAGAAAAGAAAAAATAGACAGAAGGAAACAAAATAGCAAGCTATGCAGTCGAAAAAAAACACGCAAATTGCTGGAACTTTTCGTTTTCAACTTTTTTTTTCTGAAATGAATGAACGTGTTACTAGAAATCCTCTGACAGTCTGGTAAATGAATTTCTTTCCTCTGTCTACTACCACCTCGTTGCAAAAGGCTCTAAACTTGAGAACAGAAGGCATGTGGATGGTAAAGACCTCATTTTCAGCGATAATGTCAGTGATCCTCGCCAGACTACGAGGCCGTAATGAACCCTGGCCGCCAGAGAGCACGATATCTAGGAGAGCTAACGTTAATTTTTCATAATTAGCGATTCGAGGATGATGGTGATTATGGGGGATGAGATGCGATGTTATATATGTGATGGTGATGGTAATGACAATTATGATGATGATGGTGGTAATGATTATTATGAAACGGTAATGATATTTATAATGATGAAGATGGTAATGATTATTATGAAACGGTAATGATAATTATGATGATGTTAATGATTATGATAATTACGATGTGATGTAATGCGATGAAATTCGATGTACCGATGATAATAGAAATTATGATGACGTTAACCGCGATCTCGACAAAAAAAAGAAAAAAAAAAGATAAATGAAATAATTCCTAGGTTATTACCCAGGAATTTTATTTTTGGTGGCGTTTGTATTTCGTAGGTTAGACAAAGAATACATACTTTAACTTTCACTTTCGAATTATACTCTGCTATATCCCTCGTGACTCGTACTAACAGCCGGCCGGTTTTAATAATCATGGAATCCCTCCTTTCTCCTGGAGTTTAGATCAAATGTCAGACAAGAACTTTGATAATGACAATTGTCGTAAACCCATAGTTTAGCGTTGTCATTAAACTTTCCGGGAAGGGCTGATCGATTATAAGTTTCGTAAGGTGCCAATTTCGGGACAAGCGATTATTGCGTTGTTTGGGGGAACAATTGATACCGTTGAATGTTGAATAACTTGTGTAGTGTCGTTTGTGGTTCTTCTTGGTTCGAATGAGCAGATAATATGGTGTTTATGTTGTCTCTCTCTCTCGTGTACAGATTGATAAATACCTTTATTAGATTTCATTTCTTTTTAATCAGTTTAATCTCTGGTGTGTATTGGCTACTAGTTTGTTTAGCTATATTACAGGTAAATGGCTTATAGAATTCAGTTATCCAAATAAATTAATCAGTCCCAAGTATGTATAGGCATCATACGTATGTAAGCTAAAAACCATAACAATAATTTCTTCCCGGCCCTTCCCCAGGGTCACGCTGGCCGTCCTTCAAAAGTAGGCTGGCGACGGACCTGACCGACTTCCCCAACATGGGCGAGAGTTTCCGCATCCAGAACCCACCGGGAGAGAGCCTGCAGCTGAACAGTAAGCCTTCCATCGTGTACAGGCCCACCTTGGCCTTTACGCCCGAGTCAGGCCACTTCATCAACCAGTGTGAACCCGACGTCTGTGGGATAAGCCCCTGCGACAGCCCTACCGACGGCACTGTGGTGGTGAACGGCGGGGAGGACGCGAGGCTCCCTCTGTGCACGCAGCAGGAGGCGCTCGAACCCGGCAGAGACGAGAAGGAAGGAAGGGCGGAGGAGCTCGTGCCTCTGGAGGAGCTCACGGCGTCTCTCCAGGGCGCCAAGAAGTCCTACGGGAAGCTAAACCGGAGAAAAAACCTTTCGAATCATAGATATGACTGAAGTGCTGCGTTTGAGAGTAGCGGCGAGCGGTGTAAAAGGATGTGTTTATTCATTATTACCATCGTGATTACCATTGATGTTGTTACTGTTCTATCATTGTTAGGATTAAGTAAAACCATTGTCATTTTCATTTACTAATGTTTGTGATTTATAATTGTGATTTTTAATAATGGTAGTAATGGTCATTTTTGCTATTGTATTCATTCAGAATTTTGGATTATTGATAAGAGTAAATAGAAAATTAAAACAATAATTACCAAGAATTTTGCATATTTGATTATCATCGGTAACATTTCAGCATTATTATGGTTATTAGCATTATTTTATAATAATTATTGTATTGTTTATTATTGATATACTTGTTATTATTTTTGTTAATCATTACCATTATAATTAGTATCAGTATTTTCTATTTGTATGTATGTTTGCTATGGATTTTCTATTCCGTATTGGTATTGTAATTATCATTGTCATCGGCATCATCATTATCAATATCATCTCCATTATCATTAAAACCATATTTACACGTTTATAAGCTGCATTTTTCCAAAGAAATTTCCAAGAGCATTGCTTACAGCGCCACATCAGGGGTCAACCGTGCTAATATTATAAACATTCTAAATCTGTGACCACTTTCCAAGAGTGCTGTCTGTTGACCCTTTTCATGATTATATTACCATATAATACATGGTATCAAATCATTTAGTCTTATGTATTAATTTTTCGTCATATACAAATTTTGTTTTTGTATGACTAGACATTGGAAGGTAAATTGTATATTTTTCCAAGTATTGTGACATATTTGCGGCTAACATCCACCTGGGTGGTGGAAATCAAGAGGACTTGCAAGTGCTCCAGATACATTATTATACATGCAGAAAGGAACTCCAAAACTTATTCAAAAATTATTAATAAAAAGGATAGGCAGTGAAGTTATCACTCTCAATGAAAAGATCAGAATTGCTGCTATTGTTGTGTATTAAGTATTGATATTTATCAAACCTTTCGAAATTAAGAATAATTTGCATAATGCAGAGATCTGTGACGACGCACATAATTAATCTACCAGGACTGTTATGCAGAGAATATTAGCGTAATACGCTATTCAATAAAATACTTTTACTTAATTGTAAGGGAAACTTTTCCCTGTAAAAATTATAACCATTAACAATCCTAGCATTATTTGTTAGGAAAATTATTTCAATAATTTGACTGAAGACCTTACGGTAAGTTCAACACAATAGCCATACTAGTGGCAATTATATGTGCAAATACAATTGTCAATACGAAAGCCTAAAAAAAAGGTATACCCACACTGAAAAAGAAAAATTAAATGAGTTGATGCTATTAGGGATAAGCATTATGCTCTTGATGAGTAGTGATTCTAGCATGGAAAGTGGATTTTACAAAAGGGAATCAATTACGTAGAATATAAACAGGTCACAGGGTCTAATGCTCTTACCTAGGTCGGTTTATAAGCATGTAAATATAACAGTACCACAAGTCTTACTATTACTATTCCTCCTTTTCTAATCTCATGCCAAGGAACTAGGTTCATGGCAAGTGCTCAATATTGGGTTTGTGACCTAACATTCCATACAATTCCAAATCTAATTGTAATAGACTTAAATAGTATACGTTTAAATGTACTTTGTCTGTGTATCCAGTTTGTATCTGGGAAATGTTGATAGTAAGTACAATTGTATTGGTCTGATTGGTACGCGAGAGTGAAAAAAAAATATATATGTAAATAACAAATTGATAATAATAATGTTGTGTTAAGATAAGAGGGAAAATGTGATACATGTATCTGTGACTAAGCGGTTTGCATAACATCCATATCCAGTCATACATATAAAATAACGTTATCACTGTCACTTCTGAATTTCACTATTTCATCTATCACTTTCGGACCATGACTGTTTTTTCTACCTAAGATTAGGTGATTTTGTTTCCCATGGAAGCTCCCTCAAACTAAAAATCAAAAAGAAGGTACAAATAATATTTGACTATACTTATACTCAAGAGAAGATTCTGTATGCATTTAATGAGTCTTTTTTTCCTTAATGTGTTCACTTGGTCACATGGTTGTATCGACATACTCGGTAAGTGTTCACATGTATTTTTTTGTGTAAACTATTTCTGGAAATAAAATGAGGATGTAGTGTTTTTTTTCTTTTTATTTCGATTACCATCAAACTGTCATAAACCATTCGAATTTCTTTAAGTTTCCCTTTGATTTGCAGCTTGATTTTCTGTAGTGACTGAAGAAATATATAAACGCGCATTGATGTCTATAAAAAAAATGAAAGAATAAATTTATAATAACAAAAACTGCTAATGATTCAGAGATATAAAAATCACGTACGAGTGATAGACAAGAAATATATAGAGAGTGTGTCACTGAGAGTAAAGAGATACAGAATATATCCAATAATATCGGGAAATATCTGCGTGTTCATGATCACTTTTACGTATTAAAAATAATTTTACGCCGTGGATATTCGTCGGCACCGGATCTCATCACATTTTGGCTATTCGTCCGGCACGCATGCGCATTAACTATTTGCGCACGAACACACGCTCGCGCTTGCGCAATCATCAAAACAAACGTTGGCGCCATTTTTTATGGTTGCGGATCTGGATTTTTGTGTAGGATACAAAGACTAAACTTAACAGTCTTGTAACTATAGTATGCTGATCTGCTATGTTTATATTTATCATTTTTAAGCACAGTCAAACAAGATTGTCCAGCAGAAATAAGACCTGACCTAACCTAACCTACCTAACCTAACCACCTAAGCTAACCTAACCTAACCTAACCTACCTAACCTAACCACCTAAGCTAACCTAACCTAACCTAACTTACCTAACCTAACCCCCTAACTTAACCTAACCTAACCTAACCACCTAAACTAACAACCCAACCCTCTGCTATCACCCTCTATCTATCTCTGCGATTTATTTTCCACACGGGGACCTCTGAACACAAACAAATTTGCCGAACAATGACAAGCTGGAGATTTTCAATAAAATGGCAAACAAAAATTGCATCCTGCAATATTGCTAGGAAAATAGCTCTACAAGATTGGTGTCCGACAGAAAATGCCGAAAAAATATCCCAACAGAGACGAGATACAACAACAAAACTCTCGTAAACAGTTAATGCGTGCCGGAAGAATAGCCAAAATGTGGTAAGATCCGGTGCCGGACGATAATTTTACTACTATTAACTGCTTCACTATTGGACAGAAATGAGCAATTTCATCTTATTCCACCTGTTTCCTTCCCTCGTTTTCTTGAATTTTTCGTTTAGTTTCTCCTTTGAATGTTCAGAATGTTGTGGGAATCGAGGGTAATACATCAGAAGAAGAATATTGTGCATTGCGTGAAACAGAAAGAAAGAGAGAAGAAACGAGACAGAAAGGAAAATCGTTTTTGGAATATTCTTATTTATATTTCCTTACTTACTCTCTCTCGAACAGAATTCTGAATTCATATGAGAGGAGGGAGAGAGTAAGGGTAACGTTGACGGATAAAAGTCCTTAAACGATTTCTTAGCTTGTCACTCTCACTCACTCACGCACTCGTTCATTCACTCACGCACTCGGTCATTCACTCACGCGTTCGTTCATTCACTCACGCGTTCGTTCATTCACTCACACTCACTCATGCACTCGTTCATTCACTCACGCATTCGTTCATTCACTCACACTCACTCACGCACTCGTTCATTCACTCACGCACTCGTTCATTCACTCACGCACTCGTTCATTCACTCACACTCACTCACGCACTCGTTCATTCACTCACGCACTCGTTCATTCACTCACGCTCACTCACGCACTCGTTCATTCACTCACGCTCACTCACGCACTCGTTCATTCACTCACGCTCACTCACGCACTCGTTCATTCACTCACGCTCACTCACGCACTCGTTCATTCACTCACGCTCACTCACGCACTCGTTCATTCACTCACGCTCACTCACTCTCACTCATTTACTCATTCACTCGCTTACACTCACTCACCCAAGCACTCGCTCGCTCACTCACTATCTTTGATTCTCTAAAAGCGATAAAGAAATATGAAAGAATAAAATCTCTCGTATACGTGAGCAGGAGAGGGTGTTAATCAAAGAACACTTAACATTTTTTTTCAGGAGGCTTAAAAAATATTGAGTGCTGATGGCGTCAACACCATCTGCTCTGCAAATGAGCTAATTCCCCTTCATGCAAACATTTATTGCAAACCTATGATAGGCGAAATTTGGAAGGACTTGGTAAAACCTCGCTTACTTTCGGCTTTGCCTGCAATCACTTGAAAAATTTTGTTGCCGAATTCCGTGTAATTATAACCTTAAGCTCCGCCCACACACGCGTGCGAACCTTTCTATTTAACTCGTCAATACGCATGCGCAACCCACCGCCAAAAAGCTAAAATTCCATATTCTTGCATTTTATTTTGTAACTCTTCATATGGCCATTTGAAGTGTTGGAAAATGAAACGCATGTGAAAATGGTGTAATATTATACAGAAAGGTATAACGTTCGCTTTTAGGCCCAAAAGGCAATGAAATATGTGAGGTTTTCAACCTCCTCTCCTTCTCACCATACCCATCACCTACCCCCCCCCCCCCCCCTTCCTTGCCCCGATCCTCGCCTTTTCTCTCCTCTCTCTACTTCCAAGATAGCTTCTCCCTCTTCTACTCGTTTTCCTTGCTTGTTCAACCTTTCATCTCTATCCCTATACTATCCTCCCTCCATCCTATCCCTCCCCTGCCCTGTATCCTGCCGCATTTCCCCTCGTACCCCTCTTATTCGCACCCTCTTCTTGTTCCTTCGCTTTTTTACTTCCTTCTATCTCTACGCTAAATTCAACCTTTTCCATTCCTTTCTCCCGTTTGTCCAACCTTCTACCTTTAATCCTATCCTCTCCTCTCCCTATCCTACCCAGCATCCTGCCGAAATCCACAGGGCGAGTCGAGCACAGCCGGACCACTTCCCTCTGGCAGTCTCTTTTTACGCTTTTTATTTTTGTACTACACTGGCCCTTATTTTCTAAATGTATTTTACGTTTATTTACACCCTTTTTTGAACATTATTAAATAAAACTTTGAGATCCTTCGTTATCTGTGCATAGGTTACAAAGATTCTGATGATGTGCGGATAATAGACATCCACATCTGCTGCGACTGCATCTTTTTTTTACGTTTTTTATCACTTGTATTTTAAGCTCCGTTTTATTTTTTTAATGGTTTCTTTTTACTTATTCATCCTTTTGATTTCACTTTTACGGCGAGAGAAAGTTACTTATTTTAAGATTTTTATTTCTGAATCGCAGCAGATTCTTTTATTTTTTTATTTTTTAAATTTTTTACCATAATTGTAATTCTTTAATGATTTCTTTTAACGTTTTATTGTTTTTATTATTGGTTTTATCTTTTTCATATTTTCTTTTATTGTAAGAATTCTTATTTATTGTTTTGCTATATCTATGTGCTACGCTGACGTTAATGGACCATGTTCATGTTATATAAACGAAGTGGATACTCTGACTGTGTAGCCTCCGGGCTAGTACAATGGTAACGTGTCGGCCTTTCATCCGAGGGGTCGGTGGAAGTTGCAATTGTCGCCTGGAGGTTACTGCTGTGGCTGGGCACCACGGCGGGTAAGGGCTAAGCTCATCCGAGTCAGCACCAGCTGACACACTGTTAGCGAGTCGACATTAGTCGGCACAGGCCGGGCTCCCCTATAGCCCGGGCGAGGCTCAGCTTCGCATATCGGACTTATCCTTATTATCTGACTGTGTTTTAACTACCTGTCTAGATTCTACACCGTGGATGCCGAAACAGGTGTATTTACGCTGGACGTGCTATTTTATTATTTTAACATGTGTGCTCCTGTGGCTTCTACTTTTTACTTTCTCTGAATTTTACTTACTTACTCATCAATAGTAACTCAGAATACCCTACTAAACTAACGTTAGAGACATGAAAGAAGGGGTATAAAAAAACTGAAAATGCCGCGGACTCCAAGAGCTCCTCTTAACTGGAAATGCTTATAGAGTCCAGACTACCGTCAAAAGACAAACTTGAAAAGCTATCAACACTGGATGATGAAGAACACGCCATAGCCATAATACACAACACTGACACTAACACAACTCATGACGTCATCGCAACTAATTCCAAGAGATGGCGCTGCGAACACAATTTTAATGTGTAAAAAATGCTTCAAAACTATATTTTTAGACTTTTTTTTTTTTTTTTGCAACAAGTTGCTTTTGGAAAAATAATATCTCAGCAATGAAAAAATGCAAAGTTGTGCACAAGCTTAGTGGTTACTCTTAAGCCCTTCTGGCGTATTTTTATTCATTCTTCAGACCTTCTGGTTTAAGAATGTCTTTTACGTATTAACTTCTTTTGCTTTGGTGCCTCCTGCACGGTTCTTTTTGTTCATTTTAGATTTTGTATTTTATTTATCATGCATCTTCGTATTGGTCTCGCTCCCGGTAGGCTTGTGAGGTCGTGTGGGTTCTGAGCCTTCAGCTCGGTCCCCTCACCCCCTTTTTCGAGGAACAAACGGGGTCCTTCATTTTCCTTGGCCCCTAAGCCTGAAGCCTCCCGCCTTACGGTTGCCCTCTTTTGAGTTGCTCTCTCACATAACCTTCCAAATGTAATATATATGACATGATAGACAGCCTTAAAAAAAACACAAAAAAAACGGATGATAAATAATCATTTAAATTGTACACATTTCTATTTTTATAATAATAATAAAATAATAATTGTACTATCTGTGCCCCAGAAGTTTATTAAAGAGCAGACAGACGAATAAACACGGTGGAAATACAGAGTCACTGCCCGAGCAATATATTCGAATTTGTCAACAGTTTCGTAGGCAATAACACCTCTCCTGACAATCTCGTGCTCGTTGTCCTCGTGTGTGTATGGGGGGGGGGGGGGCGCTTAGGAGATGGAGACTGAGGCCCAATATAGGGGATAGCACTGCCTTGGACCTCAGACCTCGCCTCAACAAAATTTACATGATCTTTTCTTCTCTCCTCTTTCCCTTATTTTCTCTTCTACATCTTCTGTCCACTTATCCTACTCGTTAGCTAATTTTACCCTTTTCACCACAATGCTTTACCAGTGCTATATGACTTTTGATGTTTAACACGTTTATTTGTTATAACCAATAGTCATTCACGGGCAGCAAGTGATCCTTCGAATAAAGCTCCATAAATCCTGAAATATTACCATTTCTTTTGTCTTCTATACAAACTATATTATAATTTTATAATGATGGAGACGAAGATAATAATTGTTATGATAATCATTCTGATAATTATTATTACTATTGCTATTGTTATCATTATGTAGTAATAGGAAAAATAAGTATAAGAATTAGTTGTTTTCTAGAACCAGTTTGTATCTTCAAACCGGTTAAAATTGGCATCACTGGATTCCTATCAATATCTAACGAAATTGGAATAGTTGGCGTAATTAATCAATAAACATATTATGAAAGTAGGACTACTATTATTACTACAATAATACTGTTATCATTGCCATTGTTATTATCAATATTATTCTATTATCCTTAATTATCTTTATTATTATCTTATTATTCTTAATTATCTTTATTATTATTTTATCATCTTTAATTATCATGATTATTATGATTATCATTACCATGGACATCACCATATATGACTAATGATTTTAACAATAATAATAGTAGTTAAATTAAAATTAAATAACAGTCTTTCGGGGGCACTGAAGTTATAATCCATAATTCTAGCTTGT